GCATTTAGTGTCTTTAGGAAATATAGAACTGGTAAGATGGTAATAATGCATAGCCCACCAGAGTACCGGCTTTTCCACCAAAAACCAGCTGGAAACAAGTAGAGAGCTGCTGTCTGCCATGCTGCAGCATCATCCAGGGTGACTGTCGCTGTGGGTGTGGGGAAAGAATGTCAGAGAATCAGTCTGTTCTTGAGTGCGTGCTGGGAAACACCCGCACCAGCCGCGTAGAGACAGAGCTGCGTTTGTTTACTCGTGGGGTTGTGTATTCGTGAGGGTCTCTCCATTCCCAGAGCCTCAGGGAGCTGCTTTAAATACTTGTGGTGTTCCCTGAGGCAGCCCACGCATTTCCTTCCCACGTGAGGACACTAGTCAAGATGTTCTGCTCTTCCGTGCGCTGACATCACAAGGGAGTGCAGTTCGTGGGAAAGGGGGTGTGAAGGAGCCACGGGTGTCTTTCGTATGTTACTCTATTAGATGGTAGCTCAAACTATTTTCCAGCAATGGGGGCAGGGAGGGGACTGCCTTTCTTAGTAAGAACAGGAGTAACAAAAATCCTCAATGCCTTTGATGGATAATAAAATACATTACTATCTAAGAACTTACATTTAGAATCCAGCCCCCTTTTCATGCTTATGATCTAAGGAGATAATGTGGGCCAATTGATTTGCACTTTGCATCTTATATTCAACCAATGTGAGCTTCTATTTAGTGTTGTGAGAGCATTTTATTTTCAGTCATACATTTAATAGTAGTAATAAAAATTGTGGTGGTATTGTAGGGCAGCCTCATTTTCAACCTAAATTACATCAGAGCTTTCTTGATTTCTAGATAATGTATTTTCATTGCAATTTAATGCAGTTGGAAGGAGTTGGTTATGAATGCCTGATGTCTCTTTATCAAAAATTAATTACTAATTAAAAATATTTTTATATTGATTTTTTTTTTTACAGAGAGAAAGGGAGAGGGATAGAGAGTTAGAAACCCTGATGAGAGATAAACATCAATCAGTTGCCTCCTGCACACCCCCTACTGGGAATGTGCCCGCAACCAAGGTACATGCCCTTGACCAGAATTGAACCTGGGACCCTTGAGTCCGCAGTCTGATGCTCTGTTCACTGAGACAAACCAGTCAGGGCAGTCATCACTGACTTTTTATGTACAATCAGTATCGTGAACTCTCTGTGGTTTTCTATAATTCCAAGCGTTACTTTTTAAATGTGTTGGGATGTCCATGGACTCTTCCATTCAGAAGCCACATGACTCTGGGGCCGAATTGCTGACCACTGCTCTGGAGACTGCTGGAATCCCATGGTCCCATCTGCCAGAGTTCCACCCGTTTCTCTTACCTCTTTGGGTTGAAGCAGTCTTTCTGATTTCCCCCTGAAGCATCCCTCGCACCAGAGAGAACTGCCGTCCCCGAGATTGCTGTACACTGGACCCTGGCAGTGCTCCCTGTTTCTCCCAGGCTGGGTGTTCAGTGGTCAGTTGTTCATTCGCTTTACGTTCTGGGCCATGACCACCCCGGGCTTATTTTAGTACCCACGAGGTATCTCAATTTACATGCAACCAAGTAGGGTTAATGCTCCCGGGTTCTCTCCTTCCTCCTCCTTTCCCCAGACCTCTGAGCGTTTCGGAACGTATTCTTTAGAAACGCCCTGTCACAGTGCTCCCTAAACGCCTACTACACACCGGCACCTGGAAACACCTTAGCAGGTCCGAACACCTGACACATCTGTGGGAATGACATGGGACAGCGATGTTCTCAGGGAGGAGGTACGGTGTAAGGTGTCAGGAGGAGTGTGAGGAGGAGTGTGAGGAGTGTCACGGAGAAGAGAGGGAGGCTCTTGGCCAGAGGAAATCACTGCACAAGAAATGGGCCCAAGCCAGCACTTAGAGGGACGCCAGAATGGGGCTGCTAATAACAGACTTCACCTTCTGGGTGTTTTCGAGGACGAGTCTTTCCTGGCTCTGGTACGTCTTCAGCAGGGACCGAGGCGTTGACTCCTTGAACCCCAGAATAGAAAGATGACCTCTGGTTGTCCTATTAAAAAATAGAGCTGAAACCGGTTTGGCTCTGTGGATAGAGCGTCGTTCTGCAGACTGAAGGACCCCAGGTTCGATTCCGATCAGGGGCGTGTACCTTGGTTGCGGGCACATCCGCAGTAGGGGGTGTGCAAGAGGCAGCTGATCAATGATTCTCTCTCATCGACATTTCTAGCTCTCTATTCCTCTCACTTTCTCTCTGTGGAAAATAAAAATAATATATTAAAAAAAAAAAGAAAACAGAACTTTTTCATAAGCCGTTCAGTGTAACTGTTGACAACGTAGGCTTGCACTTGTCCTCCTTCTATTAGCTGGTAGTCTCACGCCTCTCCCTTTGTTCTCTGCCCCTGTCCTCCCCCCAGGACACGCTGTCTCCTGCTAGCAGGAGGGGATGGAGCTGTTCTGGGCCCTGGCACACACTGTCCTCCCCTATTGGCCATTGTTTCCTGGGGAGACTGGCTTCTATTGAGCAAAACTGGCACTGTCTGGCATGTCGGCCTGGATGCCACCTCTCAGGCTGACGAGACGACACTCTGACTGACTAATTAGATTCGTTGTATAACCTGCCGCAGGGCGCGAATGTGAGAGCATTCCGAGTTCACGAGTTATGAACTCCATGCTTCACTGGTCTCTTGCAGTGAAGGAAGATGCCAGTGTTGTTGGTGTGACGCCTTTAAAATTCTTGATGAAAATTACAAAACTGAAAGAAAAGGGAGCTCTTAAAAGAAATACTCTCAAAAGAAATACTCTCAAAATGAGTGCAGGCATTTTCTCTTTGTTAATACAGTTTGGGTTTTCACAGGAATCCTTCCATTTGTAAAAATAGTAGCAATATGCATCTCTCTCCATAGACTCTTGCAGATATATTATAAACAAGATAGTCAAAGGTATACAATAGATGCAAATCCCAAGATATTTGTTATAACAGACCACATTAGGTGTTTTTCATATCACCTTGTAGCATGAATCACGAGTGGCTTTTCAGCATGTTTTCTTTCATCTTTGGACTGAGAGGGAGGCAGAAGGATGTTTTCCTTTTTATAAAAGAAAAAGTGGCCCAAGAGGAAACCGTTGGGTCTCAAAGCAAAATGGAGACACTGGCTGTGCTGCTGCCAGGGTGCAGTTGGAGTGCCCCGCCCCCCGGCCTCGGTTCCATCTCTGAGCCCTGTCAGTGGTGCCAGGGGCAGTGATTCCCTCTTCATCGGTGTGTTTCCCTGGGTAACAGTGACAGGGAAGCTGCAATGTGCTTTGAGGAGCACGGTTTGCCTTGAAGAGCAGCTGTGTCAGGCCCTGGTGAACACGGCAGACTCTGAGGGCAGCTGCTGGACTTGACCGAGACCCCAGCTCCCCACTTACAGCTGCGTGGCTCTGGGAAAGGCGACCGCTCTGAAAAAAAAAAAAGTGCCAAGTTATAGGGATGTGATGGCAAAAGGAGGGAGGACATACCTGCAAAGCACAAAGGAGAGACAGGGCCTGCACCGAGCAACTTCCCGTTGTCTTATGGTTACTTAAGAATTGCGTTTTCTACACTGGGTGTGACTTCGTTTTGCAGTGTCTGGCGGGGACTCATGGTGTTTGCACTGTTCAGAACTGATTCTCCAAGTTCTGCTGGTGTAGCGCATATTTCCCTTAACTGGTCTGTATCTGATGCGTGCTTGCTCTTCAGTCCCCTAAAAGGATAAAAATCTATGGGCACAGTGAGTGGAACAGGGCACTGCCCACGAGGCGGAAGATCTGGACTGCTGCCAGCGCAGTCGTGTACCCGCTATGGCTGTGACCTTGGGTCAGCCACACAACCTCATCCAGCTCAGCTCCCTTCGCCCTCAGGAGGAAGCTGGACTGTGCAACTTCCCATCCTCTTCCCCACCCCACTCCATGACGGAAGTAATCGGGCCATTCCCTTTACCAAAATATTAGGCAAAGCAAGCCCTATTATCCATCTCATGTAGTCAAAGGCTGTTATTGAAGGATCTAACCTTTATTACATCAGATAGAATTGACAAGTGCCTGCATCGATCTAAGGAATGATATATTCTGAGGCATTTTTAAAAAATGCAAGTTTCCTCATACATCCTAAGGAAAGAGCACTCATCGAATTAAAGCAATAAAGCGGTGCATCACGGAGCACCTTGCATGGAACAGGTGGCTTGTCCTTCCGCCAGTCCCTGCCCCGTGGAGGGACTCTGCCGCCGTCGGTGTAACCCTGGTCCTCCCACACCGTCCTCACGCCTGGGCATTGCCCTGAGGATGGAGAGTAGAGAGAGGAATTGCTTTCTCCTTGGTCTGGGCACTGTGGGGACACATTCGGGTCCCTCCCTCCCCTCCAGAGTGCTCACTCCCCTGTGTGCACTTGACCATATGACAATGAAATAAAATGAAAGAGAAAACGAATGGGAAGATGTATTTCTCGGGCACAGATGCCATGGGCAGCTGATGACGTCCTGTGGTCCTCGGTTGCTTTTTGCTTTGGTGGACAGGCTGAACCTCTCCTTCTCCGTCAGTCAGGTGGGATGTTGTCCTCAGGATGGAAAAGACAGGGTGTGCTGGCAACTAAGAATTTAGCAAGCCGGGCCGGCATGGCTCAGCGATTGAACGTCGACCTATGACCAAGGGGTCATCGTTCAATTCCCAGTCAAGGGTACATGCCTATGCCGAAACAGGTTTGGCTCAGTGGATAGAGCGTCGGCCTGCGGAATGAAGGGTCCCAGGTTCAAATACGGTCAAGGGCATGTACCTTGGTTGCGGGAACATCCCCAGTGAGGGGTGGGCAGGAGGCAGCTGATCAATGTTTCTCTCTCATTAGTGCTTCTAACTCTCTATCCCTCTCCCTTCTTCTCTGTAAAAAATCAATTAAAAAAAAAAAAAAGAGAGAGAGAGAACATGCCTGGTTTCAGGCTCAATTCCCAGTGGGGGCCATGCAGGAGGCAGCTGATCGATGTATTTCCGCCTGTTTGTAGGGCCAGGGAGACCTGCTGAAGAGCGCGAAGAACGAAGCCCTGGAAAACATGAAGCAGATCCAGCTGGCGTGCTTGTCCTGTGGACTCAGTAAGGCGCCTGGCGGCGCAGCTGAGGCCAAGAGCAAGCGCAGCCTGGAAGCCATCGAGGAGAAGGAAGGCGGCGAGGAGAATGGGAAGCTGCGGCCCTGAGTGGGTCCAGGAGGGCACCGTCCTTTGTGTCAGACTGTTTGTTCCTTCTGGTTCTCTTTCCTGAAGCTTTTTAGACTTTCACAAAAAGATGCATCTTTGGGATGTTGGACATAACAGGTATTTTCACAATGTCAGTATTTTAATGTAGTTAATTTATCTAAGTTAAACTGCTTAGTCGTAGTGTTTTAAATTCTGAGATGTGTGAGCACACCCATGTATGGATGTGGGGAGGTGTGTGTGTGTGTGTGTGTGTGTGTGTGTGTGTGTCTTTCAGAGAGAGACAGAAAAGCACAGAGATACAGAGGGAGGTTGAGATCCTGTTAAAAATCCATGCTGTATTGCATTATTCATTTAGTAAGTTATTAATGTATCATTTTAGGAAACATTTGTTAACCTAAAATTCTAGAGAGCACTCACTAGGACCTGTTGCTGTGTTTACCTTTGCTTCTCGACCTTTGCCATTTAATTCAGAGATGTTGACATTGATTATTATTAAAGGAAGCCAAATTTGCCAAATGCATAGGTATTTTGATAGATTACACACAGACTAGCAAAATTCCTAACAATCATAGTAGAAATAAAAATGAATGAAAGAGAAATGATTACAATTTCTGAAAAGATCAGAAAAGTATCTTCTTCAGTTAGTGAACTCTAAAATATTTATTAAATAAGATTAATTTTTAGAAAGTTGTATGTAGTTGTATACTAAACAAATAGGATTTCTGTGGAAAAGCTGATCATTAGTGAATTTATACCCAGCTATGTGGTACTCTGAAGCACAGTAAGAACTCTTTTGTAATTAGAATTTTAATGTGACAATAATATTTAGTTACATTTCAAGTTTGAGATTTGTAGGAAGGTCTCATTCTTCCAAACTGGGAGCCTAGCACTCATTTCTATAGCAGACACGGGCAGCTAGTGGGTCTGGGGGGTCTTGGCTTTGATAGCATTTGATTTAGGGTATTAAATTTGATAGCATTTGATTTAGGGTATTAAATTAAATTAATGATATTGTTCAAACAATATGTCATCACGTTGAGCTGGTATAAATTCTGTGGGTCAGATAACACCTTCCTAGTGATTTAAGAACTAATTGATTACAAAATGTTTGTGACATGATTTTAACACATGCAGAAAAACACAAAAAGAAGCAAATGACTGATTAGGGTACATTTATAATGGCATCTGGATCATTTTTTTGCCCTAATATTTTCATAATGTTCTTGAGTGTAATATGTTTGTTACCTCCAACAGAACTAAATGTTCTATGCTTATGAAAATATATTTATTTAAAACATTGCTTTTATTTTGAAAAGCTTCTTAATTGATTTGATTAACAAATATGCTAATTTGGGGGAACCTCGGGAAGATAATTATTGAAATTTTGCAAATATAAACATTTTCTTTAGCTACCGTGTTATTTCTGACTTCTTAACACTATTATGTCCATGTTGCACATTACTGAAAGAGTAAAGATCTGAAACAACACTTTCCCCTTTTTTTGTGTGAGTTAATTGAATAAAGAATGATGATTAAATTGAGTTATTATGTTAAAAAAACATATTAAAGGGTATGCTATGTCCCGTGGACCAGATATGATGAAATTTCCCTGTGGATTTATCTGGGTTCTTGGGGAGGTTTGTGAGAGCTCATTTTGGTAGGTTTCCACATGGTACTGAAATAGCCTGGGTGCGGTAAATTTTTATTTTTGTGTTATTTATTTCTGAGAGGCACTTAATAAGAATTTTAACCCTTTGCTCATCACATGCTCTGCTCATGCCTTTTGATGCTTGTTTCTGTTTTTATCCCTTTAACTTCCTGCTGGTGCTGAGAGGGCTCTGCCTGCCTACGCTCATGAAGGTAGTTCTATTCCGCACTAGTAGCTTTGTTGGTTTAGGGCCGTGGTCGGCAAACTGCAGCTCTTTGGATCCTTGAGTGTGGCTTTTCCACAAAATACCACGGCCTGGGCGAGTCTACTTTGAAGAAGTGGCGATAGAAGAAGTTTAAGTTTAAAAAAATTGGCTCTCAGAAGAAATTTCTGTGGATATTTGGCTCTGTTGACTAATGAGTTTGCTGACCACTGACTTAGGGTAAATAGAAAATATAACAGGTGGTTTTGTTTATTCTGTTTTGTGACAGGTTTCATAACCCTCATTTGTCTGCTGGGCAAACAAGGCATGTCTCTATGTGGGGGCCCCAGAAGTTACAGTCACTGTCCTTCAGTTCGATAACTTGATTCCTCTACAGTTATTTTAGCAGCAGCTTGCCTGAAAGATAAAGGGAGAGTAAGTCACCCAAAATATGTTTAAGTCAGAGTTGCTTAAGCTTAAACTCAAAAAGTTCCAAGGATACAGTGAGGGGGGTTTATTCCCTCAAGTTTTTGTCCTGGCGAACGTGGTACTGATATCCTGGTGTGTCATTAGGCATAAAAGGACTTCTGAATTCTTTCAAGTCTTTCTAAATTCTTTAAAATTTCCCAGGCCCTAATGGGAATATACATAGGAATATATTGGGATATGTATGTATGAATATATATTTGTTGATAGATTTATGTCTGCATTTGTCCATTTTCAAATAAGCCACATAAATATTGTCCTCTCTTCTGTACGATCTCTTTATAAACAACGCATATATTTAGGGTTTAGGATTGCTAAAACAAACATACTAACAGCTCCTGGCACATTGCTTAATAGTCCTTTTTATCTGTCTTTTGTTTATGCAACCATAGATATTAGCATTTCTCAACAAAGAATGCACAATTGCTTGATGGGCCAAACAAACCACTGAGGCAGAGGAGGATTCCAGCAGCTTTTACAAGAACATTTTACAGCTTCTTATCTCTGCAGAAAGCAGTGAAGCGCAGCTGAATGGAGATGCCAACCAAACAAAACCTTAGGGGCACGGTAACTGCTCCGTGACTAGAGGCTTTGCTGGGTAGCTGATACTAATGTCATAGGTTCTTAAAGTTCTCTTCATCTGTTTCCCGTGGAAGAGGGAGCTGCTGCTTGCCAGCACATACAGAGTGAGGAATTGGACTGTGCGAGCCAGAGCGATCAGATTCCAGATGTTCTGCACAGTGTTCATCATCAGTACAGCCATCCCTGGGACTGCAGGGATGCTGATGTCTTTTCTCCTCACACAGCACTGGGCTGCCAGGCACGTGTGAAGTCCAGGAAGGTGTGAAGTCCCAGCACTTTGCTGAGAAGGCCTGGTTGACGATTGGATTCCCACTATTCTGGCCTCCTCGCCATACTTGGGTCTGGCTTCCATCACGGAGCCTATGAAAGGCCTTTCCTCCTCTTGCCAGAGCAGCAGGTGGGCGGGTGGACAGGATCAGGTGTGCAAGACAGCCTCCCTTTCCGCATTTCTCCTCTCCCTTCACGGAAGTCTTCCTGCTGCTCCCTCCACCCCCGGGGATGTTTCTTAGGATCTGCCTACTGACCCCCTTCTGTGCTCCCATTTTCATTAGCCGTGCAAGCGGAAATACCAGGCTTTCTGGAGAGAATGTTAGAATCTCAGTGAGGCCTCCACACAAAAATAAAGCAGGTAACACTCCGAGTTTGCTCCTGCTCCAGAACAAGTCCACTCTCCCTTGTAGCTTCTCCTTTTGACCTTGACTCCGATGAACCATCCCCACCTCTAACTGGTTGGTTCTCCCATTTGCTCCCAGAAGCGTGTCTCTGGGCCTGTTCTCTGGGCCAGATGTTCCAACAGACCCTTCCACTGTGCAGACCCCTCTACTGCACAGACAAAGGGCTTTCACTCTCAGGCTGTGTATTTTAAGAGTCACCAAGAGGGTTTTTTTGTTGTTGAAATCACAATGAATTTCTTTACTATTAATTAATTTCTCTGTGCTATCAGAGGAGAAATTTAACCTCATTTAAAAAGATCCTCTCTAATAAAAGAGAAACATGCAAATTGACCATACCTTTGCTACACCCACAAGCCACACCCATCAGCCAATCAGGGCGAGTATGCAAATCAACCCAACCAAGATGGTGGTTAATTTGCGTATCCAGGCCAGAGTGAAGACTGAAGATGGTATAGAAAGAAGCCAAGTGCTGCAGAAGGAAGTGAAGCTGCGGAGAAGCAAGCAAGTGTGGCGGGGCAGAAGGGAGGGAAGCAGATGGGGCACTGGAGACCACAGCAGGAATTTCTATTGCAGGAATCTTCCTGCAAGGGGCATCTAGTCAAATTTCAAGAAAATAAGCCTAATCTATACAGGGTATTGTTTTCATAGCTCTGAATTAAACAGTTTAATTCAGAATTCTGTTCAAAAATATCAACCGAACATTTATTATGTGCTAGGTACATTTATTAAACACATTATTGAACATCTGTACTATACTACTAGGTACTGTACTTCATTGCTTTATGGCACCATTGATTATAAGATGAAGCCTTATTTTATGTACAGGATGTGCCTTTTAGTTTATATATTATTATTGAACTGATAAGCTTTTTTAAAGTTTTTTTTTTTTTTAAAAGCTTATCAGTTCAATAATAATAATATATAAACTAAAAGGCACATCCTGCTTAAAAAAGAAAAAAAAATGGGCAAAGATGTCTGAAGGAGCTTATAGTCAAATGAAGGCAGCAGAGATATTAGTAAATAAAGTTATAATACAATTTGATAATGCAACCATGAAAGATAAGCAAGTTACACAGTAACACAGAGGAGGGAGGGGTGGGCTCCGGGGTACACATAAGGAGGAGGCACTCTGGGTGTGTCAGGGAAATTTTCATTAAAAAGCCTATGGGGCCTCCAAGGGGAAGAGATTTCTAGGTAAAAACTGAGAAAACAAACATTTCCAGCAAAGCTGTCAATGATGAGAGAGCTCGGTGAGGTCTAAGGTGAGACAGCTGAGTGTGGAATGAATGTGCGTGGGAGGAAAAGTGAGGAGGGGGTGCGGCCCCATTGCCTAGCGAAATGGTCTGCATGTATTGGATGGAAAGCCACCCGAAGCCCAAGCAGAGTGAGGCATGAGCTGGTTATGGGA